CGTTATGTGGGTTATGCAAAAAGCACTTTTCAGTGAGCTGTTCTGTACATTAATCCATTTACCATGAACCTCGTTTATTACATTTCAAGTTTTCTAACTCTGTTCATTTCGTTTAAGTTGATGTGAATGGTGCTGAACGCTTTCCTTAAAACTTCACGATTATGTTTCACCGTCCAAAAAATATTTTCTTCTTTATTTATTTCAAAATCGTTAAGTCTGTGCCGTTAAAGTACAATAATCATGAACTAAATGAGTCCCATATCTTTATGATACAATCAACGATTATTACATGTCATATCATTACGACATTATCGCACACCATTCGCAAGTATCAAAATCTCATTGCCTCGATTCATAAGTATTTTTCATGATTTTGCTATCACTATGACCGCTTGAATGTTTTCACTGATTAAGTTCTGTGGAATATCTGTTGAGATTATCCTCATTAATAGTTTTTCCATCTGTTAGTAATTCTCGTCTTATTCCCTAATGAGACTGCAATAAAAAGATATTGTCTAGCGACAAGCGACATAGCTTGCGTTATTTTTATGTATCTCCGTTTGTTTGAAATGTTCGGCTGTTGTGCAAATCAATTCTTTTGAAAGATGAACAATATAAGTAAAAGGGAAAAATTATATTCCAAGAAAGTTAAGAAAATTTTGCGAGCAGCAAAACTGAACGAATTAGAGGAAATATGACATGACACTGAAAAAGTTCACAAAATCCGTTGATAGAAAACACAATCGACAGAATAAATGTCACATTCGATTCATTCATTCAAAAAATTATCTTCTAAATGAAGTGCACTTGCACTTCATCTCACATCTTATATGCTTTTATGCTCTCACAATCAGTTGATAGTATTATTTATTCTCAATTATTTGTGTTTGAGTGCTACGTTAGTAAAAATTTGAACACAATGATTTGAAAGCTTCGAAATAAACAAAAGCACTGATTGGATTTGCAGTTTTTACGATGTGCTCACTGGGTAGGGTGGGGTATGGAAAAGGGAGAGTATGAAAATACTGATAAATGAACCATTTGGACAGTGAAGGAAAGGAAGTGCTTTTTGGTTCTAAAATGTTGCTTTCTGATTGGTAGCTGATAAGATGGGAATGAAGTGAGTCATCTTAAGTTCGTTGTATACTCTTTGAATGTTACGAGTAATCAAATCAAGCCTAACCGATGATGTCGTATGCGTTTCATTTCGTTCGTTGATGTGTCGTAAGAAAGATGCCATCGTATTGATAGTTAACGCCAAGAGTAGCAAGTGAAAAAACGTAAAACGGTTTTATATGAGATTATGTAGCAATATATAAGAACAGTTTAATAAGAGCAAATCAAGTTTACATTTAGACTGATGAATCAGCGAATTTGATCTTGTTGGCTCTGCGATAAGTTTGTGTTCGTATTCATCATCCTTAGCTCTCTCCGTTCGCTGCTTACCAAGTAATTGATCGAGTGAGTAAGGCAAGTGCACTAACCAAATTTTAATTTCATTTTCGAGCAGAAATGGAAATTGCATTTCATTTCAACCAGTTTCAATGTTATGTGCTCCATACGCAATTTCCAGTTGTTCATTCAACGGTGAGTAAATTTAGAGTTGAATTTTTTTACGCGAGACTTGAAAGAAATACGAATTCGATCAGAGGAATGCACGCTTGATCTGTAACTATTATGGTAGCTTCTTTTCTGAAGAAAATCCATCCGAAGTTGCACAATCTTCGATTGGCTTCCAAAAAATCGATGTTTTCGAAGAGTTGAGCGAATGAAGAAATAATACATTGTCCTCTCTTCAAACAGACATCGAAGTTTCATACTGCTTTCTTATCTGAATCCAAAACCAAAGTGTTTTTGGATCAGTTCAGTGCCATCGCTATGTTAAGAATTTACAATTTGTCTCAGTTTTAGAACAGATAGTGCACTTTCTCAAAAAAATGCTCTCAACCAAATGTGTACATATTCATCAAACTTTCTCACAATTTATGATCAACTTAAAGTTAACAGTGGATTATAATTAGAACTAATGATTTATTGTTGATCTGTGTGCTGATCACTTAGCAGTCGTTACTATAGTTGAATGATGATTACTGATTGATGATACTTCATAATGAACCGATCATTATCCTCATTAATCACGGATTCAATGATAATGAAGGAAGTGATCTGGGCTAATGCTGTTCACAAAGCTGTTACCTATTATGATCACCGTCTTCTGTCTCCTTATTTACAATCGTTTCTTTCTCACCTGAAAATGTGTCGTATCCACATCAATACCTAGCTCACTATTTTCTAATCGTGTCATGCTCCATTCATCGCAATAATACTAAGTGTTATAAGTTAATTTCTCCTCTGCTTTCCCACCTTTCTCATCTCATCAAACGTTCTGTGTGCTGCTGTGTATAATTGACCTTTTCCCACACCATCTTCAATAATCTTCAATTTATCGTGTGAAGTAAATGAAGTAAAAATGAATGCTGAATGGGATGGATATATGTATATTTGTATGTTGTTTGTACGATGGTGATGGCAAGAAATGTAAGAAGATCCATCCAGCAATATTTATTGCTATCTGAGTCGATAGATGGATGAATGGATTCGCATTCCCATTATCACTCGAATATAAGAAGCGATCGGATCCTTCGTTCGATCCAAGTTTGCTGTCGTTGTTATTATGTTGATGTGAAAGTCGTTTTGGCTTTTTAGATTTATTCGAAATGATCCATTTTTGATCTACTCAAGCGATTTGACGGAAGAAATTTTAAGAAATTATCTCGTTTCGTTTTCATTTACTATCCAGCTCAATTTCACTTAATTATCTTAATTCGTGAATTTGCAACTCACTCAGTTGTTGAGCTTTTGAGTGGAATAAAATGACAATCTGGTCTTTTTCTAGGCTGATATCTCATAGTTTTCTGTTTGCTTTCACTAACTCTCAGCGAGACTTACCTACAAAGCTTTTACTTGTAATACTCAAAATTACGCTTGCATAAAAGCGCCATGAACAAAATACCAGTGTTTCCCAAGTTCAGCTTCAGCTGCTCAACCTTGAGTTGACTTATCGAATCTGAACAAGACCNCCATATATCAAACAAGAGCTGAACATGAGTCTGAGGAAGTCTCATCTTTAGGGAATGGCGTTTTTATCGCAAATTCGCTGTAAAAACCATTCAAAAGTCCTTTATTAGATGTGCTCTGTAAGTGATGAAATCTGAACACAATAACAGGTTTTTTGTCACATGAGTGAATAATGTTAAGAATGTTCGATTCAGTGTGCATTTTCGAATAAACGCTAATTTCAGCCAAAAAGACAAATCATCATAGTGATTGACTGCATGCAAGCGTTGTTCTTCTCTGCTGAGATATTGATGAAAGCGCTGATGATATATGCTCATTGAATTCCCATCTACGAGCGTGAGAATTCCCACGCGTCTTATTCATCCGCCTCAGTCGCCTTTTGCATCTTATTCTCCATTAGCAGTCTCCTTCAACTGCATCCACTCTGGTCTCATTGCATCGCCTCTGAATTCATCTCAACGCATGCACTTTATCGAAACTTTACTCTCTAATAATTGTTCGAAATGGTATTTTCCTCGTAAAATTCCTTTGAAGTTCTTTTTTTGCTGTTACGGCTGCAGCAGCAGCAGCAGCAGCATGCGTGTTTCTTCCAATCACCTACAAAAACTCCTCTTCCCACAGAAAGAAGTGCTGTGCTCCGTGACTTCTACGAATGGCTTCAGTCTTCATTGGTATGGTGCCATATAGGTATTTAAAGTTCATCGTGAATTTAAAGTCAGTTTCATATTTGTAGTGATTGATTGTTGGGAATAAGAGGGATGACTTAAGTATAAATTCCCATAAATCGTGCATCCAACCTCATAGCATGCTTAAAAGTGGTTTATTGAAACCCGCGTTTCATCGGTTCGCTCGGCATATCGTGGTTCCTGATACGATCAATAACAGACACATTCTGAGACATAAGTAAATGCTATTTGTTCGTATTGATCAGGTAAACAAGTGAAAAGGTGTAAAATAACCCCTAAAGAGTGATCGGTTGCGTTATATCAGCTTGATTCACTGATGTATCATCTGTATTTTATGAATAGATTTACTAACAATTAAATATTGAATCATTTGTTTTTGTTTGCTTATCTCACATTCATGCGATCATGGCTGAACTAATTTTAGAGAATTTTCATTGGATGAATCAATCCCGTATTCAGAATTTAGTGTGAAATTTTCATGAATAATAATGATGGTGATGATAGATAGTGATAATTCATGAATAATAGCATGAGATCTTAATAGTCACAACGTCTTGAGAATTTAAACTTGGATGGTGATGATTATTGCACTTATTTTTGCTTCATTGTTGTGAAATCGCTTTTTTCGAAAGGAAATACGGCTGATTGCTTGAATGGTTATATGTATTAGCTTCAGTTCAGGTGCTCCGATAATCTAAACCTATAATTTTAGGGCTCTAATAGTTGGCTTTGAGTTTGGATTCTATGGATTCTAGAGTAGTGTTTAAGTTATAAGTTTCAATTTATCCTGTAATGGTGATATTGCCGTACCACATATGGACACTTTTATAGATGAATTATTCGCAAGAATTATCTATCACATGATTGATTGCTCACTCATTTAATCAAATATGCCTGTGATAATATCGCGTTCGATACTCTAAGAATTGCCTGAATGCGACGCATTTGCCTGAACTCCATCGCATCGATTCGCGTAATTCCATGATCATGTCTTTTCAGCGGATCAAATCCTTCCGTTCTGTGCTTTTCAGCAAATTTGACAATTGAGAGCATATTTCTGAAACAGCTCAACTAAAATTATTTTAAATGGTCGAAGAATCTTAGTCGTCTCAGAGGAATTTATCACAAGCAGTTCATTCATTCCATTCACGTGTTATTCATTTCTACCACAACGAACATCGCCGAAACACCGAAACAACTGTTGTCCGTAAAAATCGGTTTTTATCGTTGAAGTTCATGAAGGACGTTAAAGTGGAAAATCTCGAGGTAATGAAATTTTTTTTGGAAATTTCATGATGAAACTTTCGTATAATATGAAAAATCTCCGAAGATTTACCGCAGTTTCATAATAATAATTTCATTCCCAAATCCATCATTTTAAGTGGGTCATCGAGATTGGAAAACGCTTAGATAAGTTAGCAGACAATTTTCTGGTATTATTGATGAACGAAGCAACGCGCAGTTCACTACCTGCATTTAAGATGAACCTAGTCTGTGATCGCTCCTTCATAATCGCGCTTATCCGAAAGACGCAGGAATCTTCAGAAGAATCTTCAAGATCCTGTCAATATACTCCCCTTTGTTCATCTCCTTTTAGGAGGGCTGAAGTCTTTGATCAGTAATATTCATCACCACTATGAGTTTGTTTCCAAGATCATGATCAATTGAATGAATGTTTGTGAGAGATGTATATTTTAACATCATACCATACATCTACGTGAAATTCTTCATTTCAATGTCCCCGCTCTTGCAATATGCAAAAATAGACTTACTGATCTCAAATTCGGTGAATTCTCCTTTAAGCATGTGCTCTAATTCCTGCTGTTTGTCATTCTCATTTATAGCAACCAAACTCTGTGGTGACGTAATTTACTTCACGAAAGCTTTCTCCGTTTCAGAAAGTACGACTGATCATGTTAATGACCGTAATAATGATTTTGTTGAGTATCTTTGAGAAAAGAAGCATATAAACCCCGTAGTGTTCATTCATGGTGGCGTTACGTGTGAATAACAAACTATAACTCAGCGAACGAATAAACATTTTCGATGGAAGTGGGGGTGGGTCAGCCGCGTTTGCCCAACGAACCAACGGACGGACCTCTGAATGATCGGATCTTTTTGCTCGCGTTCTCACGCCGTTTTTTTGAATTTGATGTGCGGTTTTTGTGTATGATACCACACACACATACGCATAAACAAACGTGAATAATCCGAGAGTTTTCTTCTCATATTTTGCATAATACTTTCATACTTATCGACAAACCATAACCAACCAATATTTTTCGATTCGACAGTTCGCAAATCAGCCGAAAGGGTTCATAGATTCATAGCTGTTTGATGGATGCACTGTTGTTGGTTCCGTCTTGACAGTACCATTCCCCATTCTATATCTTAAACTTCAATTGCGCAAATTTATTGTCGTGTGGCGATTTGTCTGCTTATTCTACGATCTAGCAAAGGCTTCTTGAAGTGTTCAAAGTGTTTGAATGGTTCAGGCGCGGCGGCGTTTTGGATTTTATTTCGTTTGTGTTAACTTTATATTCCATCGTTATGATTTAACTCGTTAAAGTCTTTTTTGTGTTCAGATTTATAAAGAAATGTCGAAGTAGGAGAGTTCCTCTCTTGACAAATTCATTCTCTTACCATCTAATTTTTATCACTCCAGTCAGATAGAAGTCGTCTCTTTTTGTTCGCAACAAATCGCCTCTCGGTGGTATGCATCAAAAAATATGCCCGCATCCTAGATTTGAATTCGATCAGCAATTACTTTTCATATTACGAGCTGATTTTCGTCGTTTGTTTACGTTTAGAAATGAGTAAATTTAAACGTACGCAAACAAACAAACAAATAAATGAATGTCATCACAAATGTGTATGTGAGAAAAAAGCAATAAAATTACATAATAATTGCGCAGTTCACAACAATTCGGAATGGAATTATTTATTCTCATTCAGATGTCATCATTTCATATAATATATGGTGATATATAGTGTGAAAGGATGCTTTATATTATCACAACAACGAAAATTTGTAATATAAACCCATAAAAAACAGCTATAACGTTGGTCTTATAAAGTCACAATTGCGTTGAATATATGATACGAATCTAGCTATAAGTTTCTTGTTCCCTCGTAGCATGTGTATTGGCAGGTGAATCAACCTACCAACATACTCTTTCCAGTGTAAAATCACCTCATCCTGAACATTCAACATAAAAGGTAAGAGTCACATAATAGTTGACGGTTCTAGCGGAAGAGAGAGTCGAATTTTGTGATCCTATCTGAAAATCCAAATAATTTTCACTTATTTAATAGTTTGGCAGTCCAGGTGAATGTCGTACGTGAGCCGTTTGCGAGTTATCGTTTTGCTTCGAGCTGGGACATCTCATTTTCGACTTTTAATCGTGATCTGAGATTGAATCGTAATTTGAGATTGATTCATTGATGAATGATTACTAGTGATGGCATCCGACCTACGGCCGTCGGAAAATCTGATAACTTCCGATCAGAATTCCGACATTCAGATTCCGATCGAACATTTTAGAAGGTCTGTCGGAATTGCGAATGTTGAAATGTGAATTCCGTTGGATTCCGATCGAACAATTCCGACCATCGGAATGTTGAAAAGTTAGGTGGGTCGGAGTTGGAACTTCGCTCGGATGCCATCACTAATGATTGTATATTGAGCATCATCTCATTTTGGAAACTCAAGGAAATGCAGTCTAGAGATAACTCAAAGTAAAGATTAGTTATTCACAGTAAGCATCGCTGGTTTGCCTGGGATTTTGTGGCAGAGTAATTCATTTGATTCGGAATGAAGTAATTTTTAGAATATTAAAGACATGATTTTTGCAATTAATTTGATACGGCAGAATTTTATGAATCTCTCATAAGTTGCTAGCTCTACTCTCTTATGAATTCGATCAGGCGTTCTAATTTTGATATTTCAGACGGAGGCAGCCTTTCCACTGACGGGTATTGAGTCGAATCCACTATTTGCGTTGATGTGGACAACACAGAACCTGGCTGCGCTTGCTGCCGCCGGTGCCACACCACCCATGCCTCCGAATTCTCTGCAACCGGTATGCTTTATTATCTCTTGTCCATATTATGATTTAAGTTTGATTTTATATATAGTTCAAGTATAAATACGGATAAGTTAGCACGTTGGGTATCATATCATAACGTTGCACTTAAATAAGCTCGGATGTAACATTGTCTCAGATACTGAATCCTTCGTTACTTTCTACTGATAGTATACAATCGAATGAAATTCTGTGATCGAAGGAGTTCGTCTGATATAGGTAGGCAGTTGATCAAATGATCTGCCGTAAGGAAATTGATCTTACTCTGGTTTAAGTCATATCTAAAGGCATCAGAACCACTAGATCTTAGACATACTGCAGTTAGCATCGCCAAATTGAATATTTTTCTGCTAATAGCGAGGAGTGTTGACTAGTTCGGTTGGTATTTCCCGCTAGCAGGTTATGTTACTCAAGAGGTAGTTGTTATGCACAAATATATAATTGTAGGAAAACGAGCTTGTTGCCTCTCAATTTGTCTGTTTATTCAAAGGGTTCACTTTCACAGATTATCGCCATGAACTTATGATGACATCTCGCTTGAGCTTATAATCAAAATAAGGTACTGTTGAAAATGTACGGGAAATTTCGTCTGGAAATAAAATGAAATTGTTTCAGTTTCTGAATGCCTCATCTGCAGCATTGCAGCATTTGAATCCATTTTTGCAATCACTCGCTGCACATCAAAATATCGGATTTTCAGCTTATCCAAATATCACGGCTGCCTCATCACCAACTGTAAGTTCCTTCTGTTTGATAATTTATCCAGATTCTTTTGCATACGTATATTCTCTATTCGACTCAAATGAAATCAATGCATGCGCGACGTTTCGGATCAAAAAATGCATCGAAGCAGAATGATGATAAACGAGTCGTCGATAAGACTGAATCAATCAGATGACTCAAATCAAATGAATGGGAAGCTTAGGGCCAATCTGATTTGTTATTTCATAGATTCCAGCTTAAATTACCACTCACGATAAGCTTGTTGAGATTTTGGTCGTACTAGACAAATCATACCCATATTTCAAAAGGGTCTTGGTTTGGCCGTTGTAAACTGTTACTGGAAACTTACAGTTATGGTCTACGCAAATATTGCAGTTATCGTTGGATAATAAGGAATCGCATATGGATCGAACGAGTAAACGAAGTGATTCTCCAGCGTACGCGAACGATTCGAACAACTCAAAACGTATGAAGCTATCACCTCCTGTGAACGCTTTACAACAGCAACAACAACCGTGCACTTCGACAGCTGCCTCATCCACTGGTGCATCCTCATCTAACTCCGAACAACCCTCCGGTAAGTACCTCTGCAATATCTTCCTATGACAGTTCTCTCCTCAGTCTACCAGTACCAGTTCTCGAACTATTGTCTTAAACACCATTCACTGCATCATTGAAATCAATGATCCTTGTATTTGCTAGTCATCATTTTAGACCGTAAAATGATCCCAAAGCTTAAGGATTATTTCACATTGAACTTGACAAAATCTGTTTGTTTTAGACTACCAGTGTTTTGTCAGAGTTTTTACATGTTTAACAAAGTATTATTGGTGACAGATAATTTTGTCAGAATGTGCAAGAAATTTCTTTTTATTGTTTTCCTCATATAAATTACGTAAAGTTTCAAAAATTTGCGAATGATTCTTTGCTGTGACAAGTAATTGTATTCACTGTCATATGCTTACAGTGGATGCAAATCCTTCAATTTCAATCATCATGATTGTTGTTTGAAGATTTCGCAACGGTTTAAACCTAGTCTGTGTCGATCGATCATTTACAATAATGAGATTGTTTGATTTAATAAACGATATCAGATCATGAATGTGACATTAACGAAGCAATATTAGAACAGGTTCATCATTTGTTGCTGCCTTTTGTTTACAGAAGCGTATCCTCGGTACTGTGGGAATACCGTTTTCTGAGTGCTCGTAACAGATAAGACTGTATTATAAGCACATTAAAGGTAAAGAACTGGTGTACACATAACATTCGAAAGTCACTACACCTAGTAAATAATTACATTTGTTGTTTATATCTTGAGCTGACAATGAAGTCGGTAAACTGAAGGTGTGAAAGAGGTGTCGGAAGTGTCATGTTCAGAATACCGGGTTTTAGCCTGAATTTTGTTTCAGCTCGTCCATAAAACGTTCGAAAATAATTTTATTCGATAGACTGAGCAACGTTAGACATAAGATTTGTTTGTAATGTTGAATGTTGCAATATTCAAAGGAAGGCCTTTTGACGTGTAACGACGGTGCAAGATTGTGTTTTGTGTTCATTTCGTTTGTTGATATTATTTTTTCATTTGTGTTGCTCGTTTCTTGCTTCATCGTATCGTAGCAATGTGTTTCGAAACGCTTTTTTGATTTCTTGTTTTTTCATGGTCAATGTTCTGTCCATCGATTCGTTCGCACCTTGTCGGAGTTCTCGCGAGGTGATTCAACGTGAGAAAGTCATGCTCTTGGTCATCGAATCGAAATCAATTCTTTTCGAATATTGAACTTCTGAAATTGCTTTAGGTGACTGATGAGTCATTTTCTTTCCGTTGTTTCTGAGGTGCTTAAAGAATCAAAACTTTTCAAAATCTCATCATTCCCACAACTTGACCGACATTCGTCTTCTGCGTTATTTCACAATATAGATAATGATGAAAGCATACCTGCATTGTGATTTGTTTTAGCATTTTATCGTCTCAACAAGATATGAATCAAATAGTTACAATATTTACTGTATTTTCGTTTCGTACAGTTTTTGTCTGTGATTTGTTTGCACATGAATAGGTGTACGTGCCTGATGAATCTCGACAACAGGAAGTGAATGATGCATGGATGGTATCATTAGCTGCTTGTCTTAATTCAGTGGTTCCATTGTTTCCCCCCGCATCCCATAAAAAATTTTATGACGTCCTCGCATACCTTATAACTCCCCGCACCCCTCACAATATCCACTCGTCTCTTATCCTCTATAGTGAATGTCTGTAAATGTATACCATTAGAGTACTTTCTAGCCTTTTCAAAAATACATAATGCCATCTCGTGAAGTTCATCCTAGGCTACTTTATTGTAGATTAAACAAAATCTTATCTAGCATCTTCTGGAATGTTATTTCGCACCCTTTGAGGCTGTGAGCAAGCCGGTTGAGAAACCCTGTCTTAATAAATCACAAACAATTGAAAGGGTCATTTTGAAGAGGTGGAATGCTGAATTGATTTGATCACTATTTGTGAGATCATTGGGAATAATGTTTGTGCGTTTCGAATGACTCCGTGAAAGAAATTGCTTAGAATTCGAAAATGTTGTTGATATCAAAAACTTCATAAGCAATGATTTTATGCGTAGTCGTATTCAGTGGCAGATTGAATTAATGTGTTCTTTGATGTAACCCAAGCAATAAGCTGATCGGTTCCGTTCCCTTCCATTCAGTAACTTTTGAAACTCATTAAACGAAGCGATTCATAACTAGAGTTCGTTCAGCCGATATTTCCCGAGTTTGATAAATTGAGCAATAAGAATTCGTATATCCTCATTAGAATAGCTGAAAAAATCAACTGTCTTTCACGTTGGAGCCAATGGATCAGGTTGTATGAGTAGATTTATGAGACCTTATGATAGAGTTGTATAAACCTTGCTCTGAATCCTGATTAAGAACCAGTTGGCAGCGTTTTGATTTCGTCGCTGTTTCTCGCAACCTGCAAAATATCCCGTTCACAAAATGCTCCTAAATTTACTCACAAAATGCCCACAAAAATCCGAATTATTCATTAAAAAATCTCGCTCGAATCATTTCAAATAGTTGAATCATGTTCATATTTTTAATACGATGTTTCGTTTCGTTTCACATAGGAACTATTTTTTAAA